ATAGACGCTTGTTTGTAAACAAGGACATGCTATGGTCATCTGACGCATGCGCAGGTGACGACTCCCCCGCTTTAAATATTACACTTGATAGGCTACTCAACCCTAACATCTAACATTCAGACCAATCAGAAACCAGCTTGTTTGGTGACAGGTTTTTCGACGTATCAAATTCTGTCTTCCATATATGCTTCGACGCAACTGCCATTATACCCCAACCCCACGTGACACCAATTACCATATAATTTGACGACGCGATATGGCGTAATAGCGAGCTTTGTTTTGTCCCACTAGCTATGCGCAGTATCAATTGACCAATCGCAATTCGTTGATATCACGTGTTAGTTATTGAGTGTTTGTCCCCAGAAATTAACGTACCTGTTGGTGACCAAATTCTCCCATAATGCCTTTCAGTGTTTCACCTCGCCACGTACCGGCCACGTGACCAATGAGCGGCGCGTGTGTCGTCCAATCCAATGTCTTCTTGTGAAATGCAATAGACACGTTCGGCAGTTCGTCTTCTGGTAGTGTTAGATGTCGCGTTCTCGGATCGAAAACGTGAAGTTCAACGCCATTACTGCAGTGTTTCCATAGATTGGAAACATTCACGAAATCTGACCTGCAACGGAACATCTATTCTGAGTTATTTAGTAGGTGGCATAAGCCAGACCAAAATTAGCACACATTTCCTACCTAAAAATGAAGTTCGGTGTATTTGTTAAAAGCGTGCTTCATTTTTGCTTTCGATTCAACGAATCGTAGATGACATACTGATATATCTACTGGAGATATTAAATAACAAACTTGTAATTCTTGTACACCCGGACCGTGACTGAACTACAAAAAAAGTGTAAACACATTCCCGGTGATCTGGTCACTGTGTTTGTTGTGGGACCAATGAGCAAGGTCATGTGAAATTATTATTAGTTCATTCTCCATACACCGACCATGGGACATTGACATGGTCTTGGCTTCACGTACTGGAAGCTATTTTCACGGTATGTAAAATTTAATTACGAGCATTCCTTGCACTTGCTTTCTACACCTTCATACCTACCAACAAAATATGTACACCACACAGGCAGCACCCTGGTTATCTGACAGATACAAAGCATTTTCTGCCGCAGAATTCTAAAAAAACCAAAAACAGTTTACGCAAAATAGACCCTAGCAACAAAAGACGTATTCATTTATTTATACCACTTTAAACACACATGCAGCTTACACACTTGTGATTTTGAAAATAAGTTATACTGATTATGTAGATGTCAAACACGACACAGTGTACTTCAATAAGGTAAAATATTTGCAAGGTAGTATTCCGTTGTCATGGCAACATATGTTCATCTTTGATAGGCATCTTTCACATACAAAATCCAAAAGCCTTCGGCCAATTTGAGAACTTAAACCATATTCTGAAAATACCAAATTGTTACCCGAGTTTGCTGTCAAAACTCAACGGATCGAGCATTTTCAATGTGGTCAATGTCATTAAAAATATAACCAACATTTGATTTTCGTGGTTAAAAATGATATAGTACACTGAATTAAAGTTACCGCGGCTGAATTTTGTCAATTCTAAAATTGTATTTTTAAATTGTTCCAACTATACTTCAAACACACAATACACAGTGTATAGTTGAAAGCTTACAAAGAAAGTAATTGTAATCAACGTCCACCAATAGTGTTTTAGCATAAACCCAAGTCCCTAGAGAATTCAACAACGTTCCGATTCAAACAGTGAGCAAATTGCCTTTTCGTATGACATCACAATGCGTACATTGTTGTTACGTTAACAACAGTTGCTTTCATTGTATTTTGTACACGATCGTTTTACTTGTCACTGCTATTACGTTTATACTTCACAACTGCAGCGTGTCGCCTGGGTGGGCATTTATTTCTTGTTAAAAAAAAACTTTTTAAAATTGCAATCTTTTCGTGTAATACCTGTTCTGTTTGTATATATCGCAGGAATCTGTGAATCTCCGCGTTCAATGATTTGTCTTCACTTGCCCAAGGTTGAAGAGATGTCTTCTCTTCCTTTCCAAGTTGGTGCTAAATAAGAAACGGATCAATAATCATTGCCGTAGTTTATCGCACAATTAAACACGTCTAAGGGTTAGTCATTTGAAATCCTGTTTGCGATGCACGAAGTATGTCATTAGAAAACAAATCTTTTAGTCACCCTTTCCCCAGGACTCTACTATCACTGCCACGAATTTGACAATACAGCAGAAATGCACGTAAATCTGATAACGATCTACTGGCTTCCATTTGCATTGCATGCAACACAGACGTGTTGTCAGCCAATTAGTTAACGATATGTCTGGTTAGGTGTACGAAACAAATTCGTGGCCGGAGCACTACCCCTTACCTGATTACTTTCGACATCTCTCTTCTCGATCTTTTCGTCATCTGAGTCATCAATATACATGATTTCTCGATCGGCAGACAAGTCGACTTCCCCAGACGTCACGAGGAGCCACCGTAACGAACTTTCATCTTGTCTTGGAATAATTTCATTGGCTTTCGTATCGACCGGGAATGGGACTGTATGAATTAACGAGTATGTGACAAGTGCGAGCAGTAAACAAGTTAAGCAGACTCCAACCACGTATCGAACTGATGCCGAGTTTGGCACATCAAGTAATTGCATCATGAAAAGGTCGGCAAATACAAAACATTCGCAATTATGTGTTTTACCGAAGACACAAATTGCTTGTAGAAATGTATGTCTTCACAGCTTTTCCCAATGTTCCTGGGCAAGACTAACGACGCACAATGTTCCCAGATGATTTCACTCACACATATTGGCAGGTCGGGAAGGGGGGGGGGATTAATAATAAAACACGATCGCGAACGTGCGGATCAGAATGCGAACGTTCGTGCCTGTAGAGATTGGTTCTGCAAATACACTGTAGTGGCAACCTTAGGTGGGACAATTTGAAATCGAGCAGATCGAAACGATGAATATGACCTCAATTCGAGAAGTTGAAATTCGACAAGCGTCCCCTTTCTTCTCCGCTATTTAGATAATAAGCAGAAACTTGAGTTGAAATAGACACCATAATTGACATTTTTCACACCACGTCTTTTCTTCACACTTTGTTCTTTCTATTGAGTTGTTTAAACACCTGATTTTAATCTATCCCCCAAAACGTGCTTCTGGGTTGGCCAAACACGTTGTACAAGAATATCCCTACTTGGGAATTTCACTATCAACGTCTCATAGATGGCAATCAGGATTATTGAACTTAAATTCAAAAGAACCTGTCACAGTTCCTTTTAACTGTCTACTTCTTCGGGTTTGTCGAGATAAATACTTGTAGAGTGTCCATGATTTAAATAAATTGTTTACAATTATCTATTAACAAGACAGAATGGGAAATTCAAGAGTATATCAGGATTTGGCGTGCACACAGGGCTGCGATTCAAAATAATTGTACGTACTTCAGCGTTTACGAGTTTAGGTTTGTTGCCGAAAATAAATTCAAGTGAAGGTTTATGCATATTAATTGTATGCAAATTACGAGTGCTTATATATTTCCATGTGTTTCATGTATTTTGCGGGTTTTGACTGTCATGTAATTCTTAGTACTGATTTACCTTTATATCACGATAAACCCGCAATTACGGAGCGCAATGTGCATTATACGTGTTATTGACCGCGGTGCAAATTGCCGACCGCGGTGCAAATTGCCGACCACGGTTCGTTGGCGAGTTTAGTGACCGTAACTTTGATTACTTCAGCGCAATGTTGTGTACATAGACAACTGGAATTCCGAATAACGTGTCAGTGATTTTTTTGAACCAATGAGTTTTTTTTTAAATCCATACATGTTTAAAGTCTGACCTGATGTTGAAGATCATGGCAGGTACATTTGTCGAGTGAGGTGGTGAATGATGGTTGGTGCTTAGCAGTCGTCTCTTCAGTTTACGCCTGATTGTTGGGCGTACTTTGTGGTGGTGGCTTACATGAGAATTGCCCTAGGCCATCTCCCGCTACCTTAAATTGGACAATGCATACAATCATAGCACAAACTGGACAATGAATACAATCATAGCTTTTACGATAACTTTCCCGATTTGTTCCTCTTGATATGTTTGTGCAGACCTATCTGGAACCCTGGAAATAACAAAAGAGGTGAACGAAGCCTTTCCATAAAAAGAAGGTTCCCCGGGCCCAGTGTGCCAAAATCATGGTGGCCATTTTTAGAAAAAGTGGCAACACCTTGAACTTTATGGAGACTAATTACTTATAGTTTTGAGAAATATTGAAATTAATTTAAGGCAGAAATTAACATTCCAGAAATGCCATTAGTTGTTTTACTGACATTAACACACGAAGAAGTAACACGAAATAGTCGGAGAGGAACCCTTATGTAGGTAATGTTTCGATTTACGTATAATCTAATTGTATTTCTGGGTTAAAAAGTCAAAAGTAGCCGAAATTCCAACCGTTACAGAAAAACACGATTAAGTGTTTTGGTTAGAAACCCAAAACAACTTCGCATTGTCATGGTGATGTGTTGCTTCACACCACATTTACCGTGCGGACATGTTGACTTAGTCAGCGATATCGACTATTAGAAGCTTTCTCGCACACTGTTCATTCATACAATCGCCGCATTACGATCACGTTTCCGGTGGCCCCTTTGTCAACTTTGTTTAGTAAACACACACTCTGATAAAGATTTCTGTTTACTAAAGCGGTAGCGTTTCTTTCTTTTTTGTAAACAGCATCGGATTTAATATCTGTCGTCGCTACTAGCTTCTGAACAGACTTTCTTTGTTCGTTACGGTGCGATAAAACTACGCCAGATTGATCGATTAGACTGTCATGGAAAGCTTGCTTTGATAAGCTCTCTTTGACAGTCAAATTGGCGTAAAGTGGTGGGATTCTGCACGCACGCCTACACGACTGATTCAACACAAACCAATATAACACTAATAAACGTACAGAAGTCACATATATTTTTCTAATTACCGTCAACAATACAGAAAAGGCATCACAATGTAGGACACTTGTTACAGACGCGTAAACATTGCTAACCAATGTAGTTCATTTCAAGATGTCTCACAATTTTTTGATTTTTTTAAACAAAAATAGTGAGATGATTCGAAAACCTTTCAAACCTGACCTAAATCAAATTCTGAATATTCAAACATTCAAACTTAACGTCTGACGGTCTATTTGAAAAGAGAGTGCCGAGAATTGGGATCACCGGAAAATTTGACGATAACGCGTCTTGGTTATATAAAAAACTGCAAAGTAAATTAAAAAAAAAAATCGATTTGCCAATTTGTTAGCTCTCAAATTTGACAGGACATATTCAACATTGAATGACTTATTAAACACATGAGAACAAAGCTGATATATCTGTAACAAAAGTCAAGAAACATAAGTATACAAGTATGAACACAGGACACGATCGTTTACAAAGTCATTTAAGCCGGCTCTGTAGCACACGTGTTAACATAG